ACTAGGATGTGTTAGTTTTACATTATTACTGACTGAAACAGCCAAGTTTACATGCTACACATTAGCTAATAATTAAACTCCAAATGTAAGTTTAGTAAAAAACTAAGAAGAGAGCTACTTTCACATCAACTAAAAACATATTGATTCATTAGTTTATTGATTGAGTAGTCTCACTTCTGCTTTCAAAATAATTTGAAAATTATTCCTGCATCATAAGAGATTCTGTGCAGTTTGGCCCCTGTGCTCCAAACGTTATTATCCAGCTAGCTCGTGGCCCCTGTGCTCCAAACTTTATTATCCAGCTAGCTCATGGCCCCTGTGCTCCAAACTTTATTATCCAGCTAGCTCATGGCCCCTGTGCTCTAACCCTTATTATCCAGCTAGCTCGTGGCCTCTGTGCTCCAAACTTTATTATCCAGCTAGCTCATGGCCCCTGTGCTCCAACCCTTATTATCCAGCTAGCTTGTTTCCCCTGTGCTCCAAACTTTATTATCCAGCTAGCTGGTGGCCCCTAAATTATGTTAGGCACTAGCAGTGTATGATAAAATAATGTGTGGAATTTGCTATATTTGATGTTAACCCTAAACAGTCAACAACTACATGTTGCTCAGCTTTCATTTTGGCAGCCCCAGTCACAATCCTTTAGTTTATATATAGTTCCTGACACATTAGTTGGCATGAAACTCTTGAGAAAAGAACAGGTACATTAGTTTCGTATGTTTACTGTGCTCCGTGGTACAAAACGTTTTTTTACAGTGGAACTTTTTTTTTACTTCACATCATACAGTGTTCTATCATGGTTAGCAGACTCTTGGTATGTTACAGGTCTGCTTTATTAATTTCTTCACAACAGTATTGTTTCTACTAACAGTCTTCACTTTTAGGAATGTTTACACTGAAGTGTACGTGTCACGAAGTTACTAAACTGTATTGAAATGTCTATAGATTATTTACAGCAATGCCACAAGTAACACCGTTATTAATAAAAACTCTAATCAAAATTAGAAACAAAATTAATTGCACGTACCAAAATGTCGATAGATTAATATCAAACTTCTTTCATTAATAAGGTGGCTAACTTTTACAACTCGTTCTTGATCTCTTCTCAATGGCCATCTACAGAAAAAAGAAATGAAATAAATTAAAATCTAACATTTCTGTAATAATAATAATACAAAAAGGAATGAACCTGATAAATAATAAGAGAAAGAACACTTAACAAACTTACTATATAAACACCAGATGTCACCATTACCATGAATAAAGAATACCTAAAATAGTTTCAAAGTGTTCAATTTCATTGCAAGGCACATGGGGCCAGTATTTTTTTATTTTTGTTTCATGTGGCATAAGCAGATGAGAACGGTAACCCCATAAACAGGATGCCAGTCCGTCACAGGTTAACCCCCAGCTAATAGCTCAGTAAGTTGGAACAAGTGGTACATGAAGTGTCTTGCTCAAGAACACAATAGAATGATATGAACCAGCCTTGAACTCGCAACCATCCAACTACGAGACCAGAGCACAATACCACTGAGCCATGCCGCCCCCCCCCCTTTAAATCAAAAACAGGATACAAAAGTTGTTTAAATAAGGTATTTGGCCACAGAAAGTTGTACTTAAGATTTTAAATTAATGTCTGCTTCAAAAAAAGATATGCTGAGGAATTTTTCTTGGTTATTTCCACACAAAATCAGAAAATATCAAACAGTTTAAGGCTAATAATAAGCACTTGTATGCACAGCTAACTGATATAATATTAACCTACATTACGGTAAACAAAAACTTTAATAAAGGTGAGAAGATATAAACATACCAGCATCAACAGGAAATTGGTGAAATATCAGCATCATAAAACAGTGATAAAAAAGAATAAATCGTAGTCATTTATAATCAAATTAAACCTGAAAACAAAACAAACAGTTATTATCGACTGCACAACTTGTTTCACAAGACAAAAAATACACTACTTGTGTAACTTTTTTGTCTTGCAAGGTTTAAATTTGATTATAACAGACTTGCACATATTTGTTTTATATATATACATATATATAACATTGCACAATGTTACTTTACTGTAGCTACAAGCTATTTGTACCAAGCTCACAATAATAAAATCTTCAAATGCATATTTAAATCTAGCATCATTATTTTCCTACATAATAATTCTCAGTTTTGTATGCACTGTGCAGATATGTGTATCTATGACTACTTGGTTTTTCCTGTGCTCCTCCCAAAGCTTTCGATAAAACAGCTTGAATTTTTCTCACTGAGAGCTGCTCTAGAACCCAAGTGGTCACTTGGTGCCTGATGCCAACTCCTGAGGGAGAGTGACAGTGTTTGTATGGTGGGTAGTCTGAATGAGTTCTACCAGTGAACACAAGGAAGCACAAATTTAATTTTCTCTGACACTCTTAGAGTTTGACTATGAAAGGCTTAATTTCAGATGTAAACTGAATAACTTATTTTTATACAGCTTCAATTTAAGGTACCAAAGTGGTGCTCTGGATTGCTGCAGCAGCATTACATTCCTGGTTATATAGGCCTCTTTCCTCTTGCATTGTAAATTAAGAACACAAGTTATTGGCAGTGGGTTCCTTTGGGTATTTTATTGTTACCTCAAATCAGTTTGATTAGGCCTGTGTGTTAAATTTTGCAAAAAGCTACTTGAGAGCTATCCTAGTTAGCTGTCCCTAATTTCTAAATAACAGATTAGAGAGAAGGTGAACAGTCAACACATCCACACTTCTCGGGTGGTATAATGGGATTTGGTAGTTACTCTTATAACGCATCCACAACCCGGTCTGCACAAAGCTTACTTTTAATAACATCCATCAAATATAAACTCCAACTACGCCCGTTTTTAAACTATTCAACTAAATAAATGCACGAGAAAGGTAAGCAAGACCAATCACGGAAACACGCACGAATTTCCTTCCCTTGTAGCAGGAAGGGCACGTTCACTGCACACGTGTCGTTGGAATACCGCGAAACGTTATTTTTATTTGGGATACTACTGAATATTTATTTTTCTAAATGTATTTGCCACAAACGGAAGCCAGACAGACTATGTAAACAAGAGATAACTCTAAACATCGGGTATTTCCAGTGTTAACATAAAATGACCATCAGGAAATACGTATTAAAAAATTGGGACAAAGAAAATATGGAGCCAATTATCGCTTACAGGTGAATGAAACTAATAAAAACAATAGTGGAAAGACCCACTCAGTAGCACGAGCGAAGGACGGGTGGGGACGAATTATGAATGAAACCTTTCGTACATAACGGGAGGTTGAGGTTGAAATAAAACAAAAAGTCGAGTTTGAAAGCCACTGGATATACACATCTAGAAATAGATGTCACCTCACGGCTTTATAGTAAAGACATACACATAAATAATAATACAACAATAACTATAGTTCCGGTCTCTCGCAATTTGAAACGGTTTGCTAAGAAGTGTTCGAATAACCACAGTATGTGCAATCTCGACACTGGAGAATTTTAGGCGTTTTGATTAACAATGGTGGGATTTTCCTCGTTTATCCATTTTTTGAAATATGTTTTAAATGTGTTGAAATGGGGATCTATTCACGAAAATAAAAAAGAGCGAGTTATCTACAAGGAACTAGAAATTTTCTGCATATATATTATCGTTTGCACAACAACGCGTTTCATATCCTTTTTCGTAACTAAATTATGCTTTAACGTATTCATCACGTTGTAGTAAGTCAACTTTCTCCATACGGATGTGTAAGTGGATTGAAGAAATATACAAACTTAAAACGAGTGTTTCTTTGGACTAAAAACTGCTTTCATCTCCCTCTCCTCTCCTTCGTCCAGCATAATATTTCATTCTGTATTCAAGACAAGTTACATTGAAATGTATTGCATTTGTAAAATACAAACTATTTCAGATTTTTCTCACTCTCTCTCTTGAAAAACTGACTTTATTAGTCTTAAAATTTGATGATGTATAACACTTTCAAATTGCTTATTACTTAACCCTAAAATCACACGATTCATTTTTTTAACGTTCAATGTAGACAGGGCACAGCTACGGTGACTTTTATGTTTTTGCCCGTTACAACACTGTGTAAAGAACTCTCTAAAAATTCGGCGAATCCTACATTTTCTATGTAAACTAAATAGGGGACCGCTGCAATAATTAGTGAAATTAAATGTAATATTTACAGGTTTTTTTTATTCGAGTCGCACGTCACTAAAGATCCTGTAACTAACAAGTAGCAATTAAATAGATTTGAAAATAATTATTTAACTTAGAGGTAAGTCTGTACTTCTAGGGTTAGGTGGGAATATTTACAAATTATAACTTTTCAATAGCCCAAATCTAAGCATAAAAACTGTTCAAATGACAACTGAATATTTCTCAATGAGAAGTAATTCCAAAGGTCCAGTAATGTTGAGAAGGTTTAAGCATTGCAATGAATTAAAATATTAATAAGTTCGAATTCTGATTAAGAAGTTAGCACACAGGATCACGTACAAAAGTTGTAATGGTTTTAAAGCGAGACCCAAAGCTCGAACTTTCGAATAGTTGAGATATTAGTGTTGAGAAACGTAAGCTTTTATATTTACTTAGAAATATTGTTGTTGGTTCGTTACTCAGGCATTCTTATAATAACCGAATAACAAATTAAATATCAAAACGCTACGTGGTTAAAAATAAAATCTGACAAAATGGGTGTATTTATGCTCTAATGACAAAGCTTAATTAAACAATAAAATATAAATAGAAAATACAGTAATAGTGAAGAGCTCGCCAAATTGGTTTGTATTGAATTTCGCGCAAGGAGCTATCTGCGCTAGCCGTCCCTAATTTAGCAGTGTAAGACTAGAGGGAAGGCAGCTAGTCATCACCACCCACCGCCAACTCCAGTGGATGTGTATAGAAATTCGCCCTTTAGGTACACTCTATAAAACTATAGATGAGGGTCCTTATTGACTCTATCACCTATTTAAAGAGATTTATCTAAATCCAGTTGCTTGTGTGTCCACGACTTTGCTAGTTTCAGAAATTCTTACATCATAAGCGGGATTACCGGGGAGGGGAGCATTTGTCCCCTCATTTTTTGCCTGTGGGATCTAGTACATACACACGACAATAATCACAGTAATTAAGGCCAGACTTTTCGCCCCTCTCCACGCATTTTGGTTCCAAATCCCGCTCATGCTAGCATTATACAATCACTCATGTATAAAAAAAATACTATCAATGAACACCATCGGTTACTACTGGTGTCATCTCCTCCATGCATTTTATATGCACAAAATAATTTATCTAACTCAAGTTTTGGGGTCAGTTCTTTACACCAGTTGTCATAACAGAACAGGCTAAACGTAATATTGCTGAAAATGATGCAACAAAAGGACTGAATCTGATATGTACGATAAATAAATAAATAAATACAAGTCTGTAAATTCAGGGTTGAAGCTGTCATAAAGAGGGCAACAACGTGTAGCCTGCTCTGATAAAATAAACCAGTTATACTACACGTTCTTCTGTCATGATAGTTCTAACCAAACGTAGTTTCTGGGTAATGTTTTTTCATCGATCGAGTTTAATGACCTACATATACTATTACTTGTGTAACCATCCTGAAGAGGAAAATTGCTTCAGGTAACATTTCATCATTTTCAGTCTCAAAAATCTCAAGCTTCAAACTTGGATTCACAGATTTTTTAATGCAATATTTTACGAATGCGTTTACTATTTATATTCTATGTTAAATACTTCCTTATTGTAACATTTCACGTTTAAGCTTCCAATTCCAGACTTTATATATTTATACCGTTCACTGTGGGTGATGTTTAAATGTTTTTACAAAATTCAGTTTAATAAAAAGGCCTAACTCGGTGAAACCACTTATTTCCTATGTAAAATGTATAGGGAACGTGGGTAAATTAATATTTGAAACGTACACACAGACCTTTCTATACGTTGTTATATGAAGTAGGCCGAAATCTAGCAATTAAAGAAAAAGTATTTAATACAGAAAACAGTCGGTGTATAAATTTTTACAAACAGAAATACCAGTTAATATTCTAACTCGATTTAAAAGTATTAAAAGTAATTGTGGAGACGCACAAGTGAT